TATTTTTAATTTTTTAGTTTGTGTTGCTATCAAAGCGTGTTTTTTTAGTTTTCAAACTAGGTATTATTTGTTTTATATCACAGTTATCACCAATTTGGGACCTACGTTTATGTTTATGTGTACATAATGTATATTTACATGTAAGTTAAGAGTTGGTTTTCGAAAAATAAGTTTTTAAAAAGTTTATTTTATTCAAAAACACGTGTTACAATAAGGATGTATCAAGTCAGACTGAATATAAAAATGAAAATTATCATAGGAATAAAAATGCAAGTTCATCTTCGTCAGCGGTGTCGAGTATCGCTGACCCATCATGAATCTTGTCGATTCTCCGTGGATTCAGATTGTAACTTACGAGACAACAGGCGTCCAGATCGCAACAAAAAAGTCGGAGCTACTGTCTATACACATAACTCGTCGCTACGATTTCCAGAAATTGATGAGAATTAGTTCGCAATGTTTTCTTGTTGCACACGTGTCGTTACGATTTGTCGTTGCAGGCGAGTCGTTACATTTTGTCGTTGCAGACAAGTCGTTACGTATTGTCGCACCGTGTAAACCCGCCTCTTATCCAGGTATATGCGAACACACACATCGTGAGTTGTTTCTTGAATTAATTTCGTCATATATGTGATGTTGTTGTTGTTGTACTTTCATGTACTACAAGTTGAAGCTGGTGATATACGCTGAATTCCATTCATGTCGCAATACGTATCTGGATAACAATGGCGTCTCAAGTTTTCACTAAGGAAGATGCACCAACATCCGCACGTTTCGTTCGTATAATAGATTTCTCTCAGATGTACAAATGAATGTGCATATGCAATTCAATGGGAATTCAGTTTTAATGAGGTTTTCGAAGCTGCATAGTGAGGATATTCAATTTTCGGCAAATTACTTCAATTTAATTTGAATAAAGCACCTCATCAACAACAAAATTTGATAGTTCATTCAACAAAAACAGTATATTTTGAAAAAAAATCTCGAAATATTCATCTCTATCAACGTACTTACACAGTAGGTTCTAGTGGATGCCTGACGTAAAACAACTACTTTCAGGGCATTCAGGAATCACAGGTAATGATAAAGCTAATGAATACGCTAGACGCGGATCGTCAACTTCATATATAGGTCCTGAACCAGCTCTGGGGGTACCTACCAAAATCATTAGTACGAAACCAGATTGGGACATGGACCAATAAGAAGCACACAGAGTACTGGCAAAAGTACCTGGCAACAAATACAGTAGAACCTTCATTAGGGAACCGTCCGAGAAAAGAACCGAAGAACTATTTTAATATAATAGGGATCGGCTCAGAATAATTATAGGGTTACTAACCGTTCATTGTCCGCTTAGAAGACACCTGAATAAAATGGGGCCGTACAACGGAGACCTCAGCTGCAGATTATTCAACTGGGGGATAGAAACAGCTCTACACATCTTATGCGAATGTGAGACACTGAATCACAGGAGGCAGGCAATATATGGACGTACAAAAGTACATCCAGAAGAACATGATGAACTTCCAACACGGAACCTGCACAAACTAGTACAGGGAACGAGACTGATAGAATGGGTGTCATGAGAAGATGGGAGAAAAAACGCAATAAGCCCAAGAGGCTGCAGTGTTTTCTGGAGACTTGGAATAAATGGACAAGTCAGACAGCTCCCAAGGTACAAAAAAAGCTGTCTAATGATTCACTTTTTTTTCCAGTTACTTTCAAATAACGGCATGCAAGCCAAGGTTTTAATGTTATAATATTGTTTTCCTTTACAGTTGCAAATTTTAGTTTTGCTCCAGTAACATCTTCTGTTGAAAACATTCTTTTTTAATTGTAATTTACCATATGTTCATATGAGGATTAGGCAGTATTTGTCCCTACCGAACTACTAGCGCTGCCAGTGATTTTTCGTACTTCAGGAAAAAGGTTCATTGCTGAGACTGCTTCTCAAGGGCTTGGGATACTGTTCCGAACCTCAGTAACTTTTGATGCTTTATTAAGCTCAGATCAGACCTTCTTTGGAGTATTGTTGGAGTATTGTTCCCATGTATGAAACTCCGCCCCCAAACGTACACTGAACCTGCTGGATTCCATCCAGAAAAGAACTGTCAGCCTGATTGGAGACGCGAACATCACTTGCAACCTTGATAGTCTGGAACATCGAAGAAAGGTTGGAAACTTATCTCTCTTCTATAGATACTTTCACGGGAGGTGTTCAAGTGACCTGGCACATTTGATTCCACCAAGTGGAATCAAATGTGCATATCAGAAATACGCGACGGACTGTGGCCGCTCTTCTTTTCAAGGTTCAACTCAGTACACCTCGAAATTCACAATTTGAGAACACTTTCAGTTGTAGATAGAGTCAACCTCAACAATTGCAGAATGAATTGCAATAGTCATTTAGATACTAATCTCATGTTTCTCAATACCTGAAATAAAACCAGGGAACAGGTAGCAAATTTTATACAACTGGTTCCATTGATGACTTGTTTATTTTGTGGAAATTCGTATTGAATATAGGATAAGTAAAGACAATGACTTTCGTCTAATTTCTACCAAGATTTTAATTTGTTAGGACCGATTACGATTTATTAATCCATTGCTAATAATCCAGTCATTTTAGGTTTTTTAAACTTCAATCTGCGGAACAATTTCTACTGAGCTGAATTTTGGTATCTCGCGACCTATGGCTCGGAAATCAATGAAGGTCATTACACAATTAGGCCTCATACGAATATCTACAAAAATGTCTCTAGCATTTTTCTGTAAAATCAATCGTTTTCGGACTAGAGCGCTGAGAAAGCGAGTAGAATGCACTTACATAGGGTAGGTAGGGTACATACATATAAGGAGTGAACTCTATGGCTTTTTATCAATGTATTTACAATTATCGTTGGCGAAGACATAGATCTATCGAAACAAAAATATATTCGACTGGGAGTCTCCACACTACAAGAAAAATATTCTGTTTCTACATGCTATGACCGGATGTGACACGCTTTTTGGGAAAGGAAAAATTAAAGTCATGAAGATGTTTGAAAAAATACCAGATTTACACAATTCTGCAGAAATATTCCAACAAGAAAATTGCGCTCGAGATGCCATTGTCAATGCTGGATTACATTTTCTACTAGCAATGTACGGTGCTCCAAAATCATTAAATTCAATTGACAATTACAGATACTGCAGCTTTGCTAAACTAACAAGGCAAAGCACAGCTGTGAAATTTCAATTCTTTTTTATCGAGTCTATTATCAAATACAAACCTGACTAGGAATAGAAATTGATACAGAAAAGTGGGGTTGGGAGTTGGAAATTAATATATTACAACCAATAACAACTTTAATGCCACCTGCACCCTATGCTCTACTGAAGACAATCTTTTGTAATTGTACAAAAGGTTGTGGCGGCAAAAGTGAATGTAAAAAAATTGGATTGAGATGTTCTAAAGCTTGTGGACGTTGTCGTGGTCAGTTATGCTTAAACGCACTAGTGAAGAAAATGATGAAGATGTTGATTAAAATACAGCAATAAGTCCACTCGATGTTTTGTCAGCAACTTTTGATGAAGTTGAAATTGAGGATATCGACGACGAATGAATATAAAAAAAAATTATACACAACCNTCATGGTATGGAACCATGAGAATACAGAACCAGATACCTTTTTGAAGCACATCAACAGCGTGAAACTTTCATCACATTCACAATGGAAAATGAATTCCACAACGAATTTCAATTCTTAGACGTACTGGTGAAGAGAACCGACACTAAGTGGGAAACATCTGTATACCAGAAACCCAGTCACACGGGACAGTATCTGAATCACAAATCCAACCACCATCAATCGACTAAAAGAGGAATCATCAAGACTCTATTAGATCGTGCTTCGGGCTCTGTAATACGAAGAAAGAATTCAAGAAGGAACTGGGTATCATCAAAATAGATCTTCAACGGAATGGTTTTTCCAAAGTGATGGTGAAACAAACTTTTACTAGAAGACAGCAAGGACCTTACAAGGAAGAGAAGCCGTTATAACCAGTGCTTGTTCTTTTCTTCGTCAGAGAATTGTCGGAAAGGACGGAAAGAATTGGGTACAAGTACAACAACAGAACCTGCTTCAAATCCGGAAACACCATTCGTAGCAGCCTCACGAAAACCAGGTCACCAAACGCAGACTGCGATTCCCAGAACTGCACTCACCGGATACCCTGTAAGTGCGGCAAATTCTATATCGATGAAACTAAGAGGTCATTGAAAGTCCCCATTGAAAGTCCCCATTGAAAGTCCCCAAACACACAACGAGGAAAAACCAGTTAATGTTTGGACGCATCAACACAACATCAAGTGGTCCCAAGCTGAGATAATCCACAGAGAAGAATACTGGTTCAAGAGGAAGTTCAAAGAAGCCGCAAGATTTGACCCTCGCGACTTTTTCTGTTTCCAAGATTGAAGAGACTCATGGAAGGACGGCATTTCGCAACGATTGAGGATAAAAATCAAATTAGTGAGAGAGGACGTACCAAAAAGTGCATATCAGAACTGATTCGAGGATTGGAAAAAACGTTGGCACACGTGTATTATAACTGAAGGGGACTGCTTTCAAAGAGACAAACAATAAATTGATGAATAAATAATTATTCAAAGCTAATTAATACAGTTTATGGTATGATTCTCACATGAAGGTCAAGCTGATATTTGATATAGGTCAAACTGGAAGAACGTTCAAAGCTCGCATAAAGGAACACAGAAATAGTTTTCAGAATGTAAAAATGGAGTCCACATATACCACTCATTCAATCACAGGGGGACATGAGTTCAACTATGATTTCAAGACCCTTCATTTCCAGAAGGAATATTTGAAACCTAACCTGTTGGAGAGTATGGAAATAAACAAATTCGAAAACTCTCAATATCTTATGAACGATCACAATGAACTGATTAATTCGCCATTATTGAATCT